TCGGTGGAAGCAGGTGGTGCAGGACGAGGCCAAGGAGACGCTGTTGTTTCCCAGAGCATGGCTTCTTCAGGAGCATGTGACTTCGCTGGATCACTTTGGGCTGGTGCGCTGCTTTTTCTTCGGGCGGCGCCTTTTGTACATCACCCACTCCCACCCGGACCAGAAGGAGGAGAGCCACGTTACCTCGTGCACGCCCCTCTTCTCTCTCCGTTAAGTCGAACACATGGGCTCTCGTTTGGCATCCGCTGACGGTTGCTTAGGCTTGATATGGCATCCAGCAGCGACCCTGGCAAACCGGCAGCGTCAGGGTGGATCAATCCCCATCGCAAGGTCAAGAAGCACGACAATGAGGGCATCGAGGAGCTCAAAGCGTTCACCCAGGTCACACTCGACACGTTGTGCGATATGGAGCGGAGGCGGTCTCCAAAGATCACCTCGGACCTTACCATTTTTGCTCGTTTGGACGTTGGCATCATAAAAAATCGTTGGCAGCAGTGGCAGTTCTTCGTCCACGACGTCGGCCGCGCCTGGGGATCCATGCGGGTCAGCACGGAGACAGATCCCATGCAGTTTGTGGAGATGCTCTTAAAAAGAGCTCATGTCTCGCGTCATGCAGAAGCCGTCGACGGTGGTGTAGGGCCTCGAGACTTTAGCTTTTGCGGACGTTGTATGATGTCGTCAACCTTGTCAGGACCTTTCTCGCAGAAATCATCAACGTTTGCGTCGGCCTCTACCTGTTATTCACGAAGGTCACCGTTGCGGTGTGCGGCTACAAGGTGCTACTCATCTGTTCTCCTTCAACATCTCCGTCACCTCTGCCACTTGTATTCTGCACAGCCCTCCCACCCTCTCCTCCTGTTGTGCGTACGACGCCATGGTATAAAGATTGCGAACCAGGGACTTCTGTGAACCCTGTCAAAGCCCAAGCCGTTCCAGAAGAGCATCCTCTCTTACCCTCTTGTCTTTGTTCGCATAGATGCTAAGCACGGCGGCCTTGAAGCCAGAGGGATCGTCATTGTTGGCCTTCTTCATGTCAGCGTTCAGCCTGCCAACCATCGTTTGCAAACTCTGAGACGTTGCTGTGAGCAACAGGGATACGTTGGATTCGCCAGTCACACACCTCGTGCATCACGTCCTACGAAACGCTGTTCAGCTACGTCGGAGAGCATATGGGAAGCACACACCCTGTCATGTTTGTCGGATTTGATGAAAGCAGCGACCTCTGCAACGGTGGCGAGCAAGGTGCCCATCGTAAACGCAAACTCTCGACACCTTTCGACATCGTTCAGCGTCTTCTCCGCCCTCTGAGAAGGCTTCCTCTTAGCAGGCTTGCGAGACCGGCGCCGCGCTGTCTCGCGTTCAGGGCTCTCTTCCACTTGAAAGACGGTCCTGGCCTCATCGGTGCCTAACGAAGTAGAAATGTCACTATCCCTGCACGGTAGAAAAAGTTAGCAGGCAAGTCAAGGACGCTGGAATGTTGGCTGTCCCACCACAAATCCTCCGCCTGGCGCGCCTCCGCATCTGTGGTCTGACGGTCAGCCGTGTCAAAGGTGTTTTGGGGAACAGGCAGGCCGTGGCGTATGTCATGCTTGTCATGCTGCACCTTGAGGGCTGCAGCACGGTCTTCCGAACCTGCGTCTCCAGGCTCAGCGTTCTAACTTACTTTTGAATCCCGGAAGAGCTCACCCTCTTCGACCCTTTCGCACCCGTGGCCTTCGCCTCCTTCATCAACATCCAGCTCTATCTCGACGTCCATATTTGGTGAAGTCATGTTGGCCTCTTGCACGTGTGGGACAGCTTCAAACCCAGCCGTGCAGCGTCAGTGCCAAAACACCTTTTGCAGCAGGTAACATGAGTCACCCTCTTGGCTGCCTTGCCGGCCAACGAGCTCATCGACGTCAAAGGCAGACGCCCCACGGTCGAGGACGTTTGGAACGGAAAGCTCTGTGTGAGATGGTCAAACACCCCTCGGATGAAACATCGTCACGCTTGCCTCTGTCGCGTGGAGAGCCGATCACGGACATGCACTCCATAATGGACCGGACGCTGGCTTCATCTGAAGGTTCGGCCATCGCGGAAGACGACGCCCGTCGGTCATTTGAGGCGGACGTGGACGTCCTCAAGCCTTAAGGCAAGCGGTCAGTTGACCGTGGTCAAATGCCATTTGACCCACTCACCGAATTGCAGGGAGTCGGTGTCCAGTTGCCAATGCTGAGAAACGCAATCAGCATTTGCTTCCACAGACGAAGCACACATCACGAACGGTGTCCTCCCTGACCAGGGAACGTCTGGAACCCCCATAGGGAGCCCAGGAGCCCATGATGTGCCCCTCGGGGGCTGGATTTGGGGGTTGCAGCACAACCCGTCCAGCGTCTTCTTGCCGTGGCTCATCCTTTAGAGGACTCCCCCTCACTGCAGTTCGACGTCACATTGTATACTTTAACCTATGCTATGAGGTCTGACCACTGTTCTCGGGGTCCAGCCGCTTCGGCCTCCACGGCCGTGCTTCCCACATCAGCTCTACCGGGAAGGATCAGATACAGTAGCGCCAGCGAAGAAGACCAGGCACTCACGCATGGACAAGTACTGGGAGGCAGCCTCTTCCAGGCTGCGCTCGGCCTGAATCGTAAGACACTGAAAATATAACGACCCCGGCGCTGGGTAAGGTCCGTCCTCTTCTCCATCTGACCACTCCGGTTTTTGCGCTTGCGCAGACGTCATTCGCTGCCACACCACGAAATAGCTCAGACGAAGTACTCACACCAATGAAGCCTTCCGTAAATCTTCTCGGCGTCCTCCGCACATTTCTCGTCTGCGTCAGGCATATCGACCTCCTCTTGGTCGTTGGCTGGCCGCCCCACGTTCTCAGTGACCTTGGGTCGTCCTTCACGCTTACGCCGCTTCGGAGCGGGTTGTTCCTCCACCTCCCCTGGGGAAAAGGCAGTCAAAATGCTGGCACCATAACAAGGAGAAAACTCACCAGACGGCTCACGCGACCTAGAAGAACGGGAAGAACCCTCCACAGAGTTCGTGTTGGAACCGGCACCTAGGTAGTAGTTTGTAGTGTTAGCTCTGCTCGCCGCGGCCGCCTGACGAAGCGGACGGCTGTTCCAAAGTGTAGTTCAGGTCAGGGAGTAAGAACCAGAAAGTGGTGACCGACCTCGAGGCGCCAGAGCGAGAAGACGAGGCGTTGGAGGACATTGGACCAGCACGGGAAGGTCAGTGGGGAGGGAACGGCAGGTAGCAGAAGGGGGTGGGAGGGGGAGAGACAGAGGGCAGGCCATGGCATCGATTCATTATCTATGGCAAATCTATGGGCTCTCAACCCGTGGAACCGACGATCCGGCTTCGCCCAGGCCCAGCCACGTGGCCCGGCCGCGCTGAATATCGGTTAGGGTAGGTGGTCAAGTGGAAGCTTGGAGTGGTGAAGGGTCAGCCGATGGTGGGACAATATAGTAGGCCGAAGCTCGCACGGGTGGAGAGGCCTGCTGGAAATTCCAACTCACCCCCTTAACGCAACCGAAAGGAAAAGGCGCAAGGAAGATGGGGCGCGCGATGTGGCGGCGGCGGCGGCAGCTTCCAAAGGCCTCCTGTCGTTGCGGGACGCTTCTTTATGTGCGCATTGTCTACATATTGTATTTAAAATGCCCTGGGTTATATGGTGATGCAGTCTAGTTGTCTATGATGCTGTAGTCAGCGCAAGAATTGTGGTGGTCTCATGGTTCGAATCCTGGAGTACATATTTTTTTTCAATTGTTGCCACTGGTTGTACATCCGGAAGTGAATTTTCTGTCTGTCCCTCGTTTTATTCATGTGTGCCGCGCGCGAGTCCATGGCATGTCCCGGCTGTCCGATGAACGAGTCATTGTCCCATATTACACTCGCTTTTTTTACATTGCGTGAAAGTACTTGCAGGATTCTGTCACTCCCGCAATCGGAGTGCAACGCCATACAGACCCGCACTGTGGGCCCAGGAACCAGCGGCCATGCCTCCCGCCGCTGACGTGAGTCTTTCTGCGCCTTGCACGCAGATAGCCACCTACTTATGACTGACCGAAACCCACCGAGTTATTTGCGTATCCCATGCCGCCCCGCAAGTACAACTGTTCCAATATCAATAGGCCGTTCTCGCGCAGGAGCGTCTTGGAGCGGGCCACAGCGCTAGCGCCCTCGCGCACCACTGCGCGACGGGCAGCGCGAGTCTGAACGCACCACCGTGAGCACCGCGCAGTCGTGGCGATGTCTCTGCGTGCACCCCCACTGCGCATTGTGCTCGCGCGCGAGGGATCGTGCCAAACCTTCTGTCAGGACTTGAACATTGGACATACCCTCGCACCAGATGCAGGGGCCATTCCACAAGGCTCGTCGTGCGCGAGGAGTTTAGATCCGTGGTGCACGTATATCGCCACGCGCGCGCGGTGCTCGCGGCGGTGTGCTCGGACTCGCGCTGCCCGTCGCACGGTGGTGCGCGAGGGCGCTAGCGCTGTGGCCCACTCGCGAGAACGGCCTATCGCTCCCGTAAACTCCTCCTCCTCCTCAAATCACGCACCTCTTCGCTCCACTCCTCCGTACTCGGCCCATTTCGGGCGTTAGATTCCATAACACCTGCATTACTAAGGTAGACCCAGCACAGACTCGACGACGTCACATGACCTCCCCGCGTCACGCTTGGGCCAGTTTGGCGGGTGAAAGACACTAAAAATCGAATAACAACTCGACGATTCGTCCTACAACCAAAGCGCTTTATAAATTGTGTACTACAATGAGTTCCATATAATATGTATAGAACTGATTTTGGATAATGCCCACAGCAGTAGAGTTATAAGCCAAGATGTATGCTCTGCACGCAATTTCGGTCATCTAAGCGAGGTCCGGCTATCTCGTGCCCAATTGCGAGCGCGCGCTAGCAGGCTACCTGTACATTGCAGAGCAGTGTCACGATGTCTACGCACCGCAACCTTCACCGTGCCGCTGCACACGGTCATCTTTACACCGCATGTCCTGTTCACACGGGGCGTCAACCCCAGATCTTCATCGCCACGGTGCTGCACTATTTCTCGAGAGGTATACTGTTACCTGTATTCAATCTCCATGTGCGCAGTGGGACATGTCTGTGATCGTAGAGGGTGTAGTACTTCGAAAACGCCGTGCGTCCTTGGTGCGTCCGCACTATATGACAATCGGGGTACGTCGCAGGGCGCACGCGCGCGGGGCGTCTCGATACTCTGCATATATTGCAGAGCGTGCGGGGGGTCATCGCGATCAAATCGCGATGCTCGCAGTGCACGCAAGACGTCGTGCCGTACGGGACTCTGCGGTAGTGCGCGAGTGCGCTACACGCTGACCGATCTATTTGGCCCGCTCCAATTGAATCACTGCCTGTACACACATGTAATCTAGTACATGATGCATACCGTGTATTAGTTGCACCTGGAAAGGCGATCAGCGATGTCCACGAGTTCGGTCGGGACTCTGGTTCTGCAAGCGGGCGCCAACCATGCGCCGATGAGCAGCCTTATCCGTCACGAGCACGTGATGCGTCACAGGGATCACACGTCGTCGAGTCTGTGCTGGGTCTACCTTAACACGACGGGCAACGGCCCAGCTTCGGAGCCCGAAAACGCGTAGAAAAAGCCTGTCAGAGGTGTCTTTTCTGCCGCCTTTTGTGCGCGTGTGAAAAAGGCAATAAAATGGGCAATTTTTCCGGGTGCTTTACGGGGTGCCGAAAAGGATCGATAAAGAGACCTTTGGTGCCCATTTCAATAACACGCGTTACTTATCACTCGTACTAACTTGTTTGTTACTCGCATACTATACACGTTCTATTGCCCTTTACTGTGAATTCTATTGTCTTTGTTCTGAGCACAGTATTCTGTCGGGCCGACGAATTCACCCAAAACGTTACCTTTCAGGATACTCTTCGACATACACAAACTTGACATAAAAGTTCGCCTTTCCCACCCTTTTTCTCACCTGGAAAAATCCCTGCCGAAAATGACACCTTTGACAGGCTTTTTCTACGCGTTTTCGGGCTTCGAAGCTGGGCCGTTGCCCGTCGTGTAAGTCTACCAAATCGAGCTATTTAGGCGCCGGGTTAAGGGGGTGAGTTGGATTCTCGGCCTGCTGGGTGTGCGTTGCGCGTGCGAATGGAAATTGCGCGTGTGGCTGGAATTAGCACTGTGCCGAATCCTTTTACGAATGTTACTCCGTTTGCTGTGCGAACGGTAGGCTCGGTACCAGCCGGTCGGTTCGGACTCCGCTGCGCCACAAGTGGTCCTCTCCAGACCGGCTGGTCCAACTCGCACCTGTACCTCACGTTTTGATAGATCAGTGATCCCGGATAATCCCACCCCCCCACCATAGATAGTATCGCTGTAATGTCCATACGCCCGCCACTACTAGATACGCTACGAATATCGCGGCCAATTCCCTTGCAAGGAAACAGCCCGCTTCCCCCATATACACAAGTCCCCTCCCCTCCCCTCCGTTCCCCTCCGTTCTTTTTGTAATCCGCTTGTATTCAAAATGCACACCTAATGACACACAATACAATAGCTACACTTGCCTGGGTGTGCCTGCACTGAGCCCATATACCCCCCAAAATGCGTGCAGCATACAAGCATCTACAAGTGTTGAATTGGCTGGCCAAGCTCTGCATCAGATAGTTATAGATGAGGGCTGCTCTAGTATAAAACTGCAGGTGGATAGCTAGAGGGGTGCAGGTATGATGTCATATGTTATTTCAGAATGACATACTCCACAGTGATCTTGAATATACAGGTAATGTAGCCGTCGGTAACGGTCGTACGAGATGTGGGGGGCAGGTAGTTCCCCTTGATAGCTTAGTGCTTTTCCAACTCTCCTACATACCCTAGTACATTGTAATTGGTACAACAACAATGAAAACGATATTCTACAGCCCCTGGGAAGCCAATACCGGGCTGATACAGCAGGGGATGCTGGTTCCGGTAGTAGCACGTCCCACTGCGTACATTGCGCCCTACTGCACCGTACGTTTCGGTAATGCGTTCGCTACGTTCCCCTGGGTCGTACGAGCTCGGAACACTCGTTTTTATCCCCGTGCGTGCTGTGGTTAGCCCGGGGCATTGAAAACACTGCCCAGACTCGTACGACCCAGGGGAACGTAGCGAACGCATTACCGAAACGTACGGTGCAGTAGGGCGCAATGTACGCAGTGGGACGTGCTACTACCGGAACCAGCATCCCCTGCTGTATCAGCCCGGTATTGGCTTCCCTGGGGCTGCGGGATGTTCTTGCGCGTATGTAGCACACTAGAGGACCTCAAAGCACGCAAACGACAGCCAGAATGATACATTTGGCATTGTATATTACTTCTCCACCACTGCTCGTACGACCGTTACCGACAGCTACACTACCGGAGCTCGTACGACCGTTACCGACGGGCTACACGACCGGAGCTCGTACGAGCTCGTATGGCCGTTACCGACGGCAACATGACGGGGTCGTACCGCCGTTACCGACGGCTACAGAGGGGGAAGGGGGTCTCCGCCCGCCCCGCGCTCACCGTGTCCCGCTTGAACCATCAACTTCAACGTCGCGCTCACTGTCCCCACGCTACTTGGCACCTGGACGCCCCAAGGCACCTGGGGCTGGTTTGACTGAGACTGGAAGTAAGCCTTCCCTCTCCCTCGCGCTGAATCCCAAGTCTCGACGCTCACGCCAAATGTTCAGCGTCTTCAGCTTCTTCGCTGTGCTCCTCTTAGTACCTAAGAACAGAACCCAAACAGGTGTTCCACGTCCCGATGCACACCCATGCGGCGCACCAGCTTCATGCGCTCGACCACAATCTCCGCCGGCCGGTCCTCGGGCGGAATGTCAGAGACACGCCGCCGCCGGCTGCTGTATGAGCACACGGAGACTCGGTCTTAATCCCGCTGACATGGCGACTACACATTGTCAGCATAACTGTCGCTCTCTTCAATGTGTACCTTACATATAAAGTAGCAATACAATGGTTTGTGCTGCACACCTGCTATGAGTGCGTGCATGATTTCGGTGGATTGTACCGCACCAGGGATCTGGTGACCCGTTATATGGTCTATAATGGACGTCAACACCTGTGTCTGATCACACTCGACAGTTCTTCGTCGGGTCAAGAATGCACTGTTGTATAGCGGCTGCGCAGATAATGTCAGATCGTACACGGGCCAGCTAATGATCATACACATCTGACGTTCACTGGCGTCTGATCATGCCCGATAGGACGGCGTCTTGTCCAACGAATGCAGATGAATACCGATCGTCGTCGCCGTTAATATACCAAACATGGATACTATCGGATCATTATTCGTCTGAACTACAAATAATGATAGTGCCCTCTGACATACTACAGTGTACTACAGAGCCCTGTCCTGCGTGCACCCATTTTGCTGATGCACCTCTCCGTGTCCCATGATTCCCTTTCGAACATTCTGTATTCCGAAGGCTGAACTCACACCCGGAAGCCAGCGCTTAACGACCGCAATCTTGGTGATACTTATGGGGGCAAGAAGATCGACGGACCGAATGGAACGGCGCGCGGAGCCGAGCAGAGCTCTTGGGCCGAGCTCCAGATGTCATCGTTAAAGGCGCGGCCGCCTTCGTCGCGCGTGTCTGCCGTCGCGCGGAGGTCAGCGCTCAGCGCGATGCACACCGGGCGGTGAGTTCCAGTGCGCGAGGCCTCGTTTCAGACCACACTTTTTGTTTATGGTCAATGAATGAAATATATTTGTTAGGAACCTACTACAGCCCCGCAACAATGGGGAGGCAGAGAGGAGGGCGACGATGCACCAGAGGAGGCGCCTGAGGGCGACGTGCACAGTGCGCGCAGGCGGGTGACGCGGATGTGGGTGATGCGGAGGGAACAGAGGAGGGCGATGCAGGTGGTGGGCAGCGCAGAGATGGGCAAGGCAGAGGTGGGAAACACGAAAGAAGAGGCCGCGAAGGAGGAGAAGGGCGACGCGGGCGGAGGCGGAGGCGGTGGAGGGCGACACGGAGGGCTCGCGGGAGGAGGCCTAGGCGGAGGGGAAGGACTAGAAGGAGGTGGGCGACACGGGCGGAGGCGGTCGATGCAGTGGGCGCAGAGGCCGCGCGGAAGGCCCGCCGGATGAGGCAGAATAGCCGGAGGGTGACGCACGCGGAGGGAGGCGCGGGACACTGAGGGAGACGATGCGGAGGGCGGCACGGACGCGGAGGAGCGCGACATGGAGAAGCGCGACACGGAGGAGCGCGACAAGGAGGAGCGTGGGCGACGCGGGCGCGGAGGACGCGGATATGGAGGACGCGGGTGTAAAGGAGGACGCGGGTGCGGAGCAGCTAAAGGGCGACGCGGCGAGGCAGAGGCGGGCAGGCGCGAATTCAGGAGGCGGGCGAGGGGGGGCGGGCGCGGAGGAGGGAGTCGAGGCAGGGTGGTATACAGGTCGGATGGGTGAGGCAGGAAGGGAGGGGAAGAGGTCGGAGCGGATCTCTCAAAAAAGGGCCGCGGCACATCGCAGTCAGACGACCTGGGAGTACCACAAAAATCATAACCAGACAGGGAATCGATCTCAGAAGGGAGCTCACAACAGCAAGAGACAACCCTCGCAGTAACAACTAGACTACATTGACCTGTCTGCAGGCATTTAGTGATAATCTATGTAGAGAGGATGGGTTCAGTAATGATCGGAAGCCATTGCCGCCGCCACATCGTGCGCCACATCTCTTTTCTTTCACCTCATCCTCCTTCCTTTCGGCTACCTTACGGGTGTGAGTTCTAATTTCCTGTATTCCTCGACGCTTCGCATTTCCCACTCTGCCCCGTTTCCGTTCCCTTCGGTCTCACATTACGATATCCCAGCTCCGTCTGTACCTTCTGCACGCTACCAACCACCCTATGTCTCGCTGCCATAGCTTGTGATCACACGGCCCCTACATGGCCCCTACCTTACGTTACTTCGTCCATCTCTCTACGTTCCTCTAGATTATTCTACCTCAGTTTCTCGCCGACATGCCCACCCCGCGACCTCGGACTTCGTTGCTACGATCTGTGTCCTCGCATGTACTTATTCTCGTGGCATTCGTGCTCTATCTACAGCTTCGACGCCCCCCACACAGTGCGTGCTACTCACCCCAAGCTCTCCGTTCGTCTGCCGCCGCCGCCTCCGCCTTCAGCCCTCCGCCTTCCGCACCTCAGCCTTCAGCCGCCGTCCGTCTCGCCTCAGTCGTCCCGCCGTTCTCCGCCTCGTCTCCGCGCTCATCGCAATTCTTCTGTCTTCTTCACGCGCCCTTCTTCTCCTCTCGCGCCGGGCCGACTCCCCGTGGTGCAAGCTCGACGAGCTCGCAAGCGATCCCTTCGCATCCCCTTCTTCGCGCTCCTCCCGGCGTTAGCGTCCCATCAGCGGGCGATCGTATGCTGGGCGTCCGTAGCGGGTGCGCGCCGAAGCTCGTAACCAAACAGGCGGTGGAGCAGGCCATAACACTCCTGGATCTTGATGGGGTTCCCATTGAGGACTTCCTGGCGTCTGTAGAAACATGTGTGATTTGTTGGCATGATCCCATTCGGTAGCAGTACTGTAGCCCGGTGGTAACGCCATATATACGAGCTTTTACGAGCTCTAATAATGTAGCAATCAGTAACGGCCGTGCAAGATCTGCAGGGCAGGTAGTTCTTCCCAATATATTAGCGCATTTCCCACTCTCCTACATGTCCTAGTACATTTTATTAGTACCCCAATGCTGAAAACAATATCATATTGCCTATGGAAAGCCAATACCGGGCTGATACAGTACCGGATGTATGCTCTATTGAATGGATCTCAGTCTCGTAGTCGAGGACTAGATATATTAGTAGGTACCTATTGAATGGATCTGGTGTTACAGATCAGCCCGAGGCCCGGAATCAGGGAGAACGTATGGTAGGCTCACCTCAGTCTCGTAGTCGAGGACTGAGGTGGCCGTCGGGGCGCGGGCACGTACAAGTACAACAGAAACATTCGCAAACATATGACGACGACGCGGGGAAACGAGAGTCCGAGGTCGATCGAACATATCGGTCGTGGCCGCGCGCGCGCGCCCTAAGCGCGCACCGCAGCCCCGCGCGGGGATCGCGCACGGCTTGCCCCGCGCTCTCCCGTCTTCAATATGCTCCGGTAGCGGTACACCCTGGCACGTACATTGAACCCTACTGCACCACACGTTTCGGTAATGCGTTCGTTACACTCCCCTGGGTCATACGAGCTCGGAACAATTGCTTTTACTGCCATGCCACGTGATGTGATTGGCCCGGGGTGACGAAAACACTGCCCAGACTCGTACGAGGCACCTCCGGTGTGCATCCGGAATATTGCGGCAATGGATTCGGCAGATGCGCGTGAGCGTACCGCACAGTACCGCACGTAGCGCATTCAATTCCATTGCCTTGTGTGCTGTGGTTGACTCGGGGCAATGAAAACACTGCCCAGGCTCGTGCGAGCCTGTAGCCGTCTGTCACGCTCGTACTACAAGGCACCTCCGGTGGCCACCCGAAAAATTGCGGTAATGGATTTGGCAGGTGCGCGTGACCGTACCGAAGACAGTGCACTCAATTCCATTTCCATGCGTGCCGTAGCTACAGAGTGAGAGTCGGAACAGTCCTCAGGCTCGTACAAGCCTGCACCCTGTCTCAGACGGCGGTACATCGCTAAACGCGGGAAATTCTGACCGTGGGCGATCTGGGAAGCGCCGGTTGATCGCGAGATGTTCATGTTCTGTCATAAAATCCAGAGCAGATCACCCAGAGTCGGCGTGACAGCTGGTGATCAACATTGATCCTAGCGTGATAGACACAGACTACCTTAGATCTCTAATGGAGCAAATGATCATACGTTCTCCCGTGACCGAGCTTTTGGTGATCATTGATAGAT